CACACACACTCTCACACACACACACACACACACACACACACACAGCACACACACACACACACACACACACACACACACACACACACACACACACACTCACTCGCAGGTCCAGGCTGCGCGTCGTGATGGGGTTCACGTGGTCCACTATGACTGGCTGCTGGCATCAAAGTTCAGGTGGGCGCGGCGACGAGGGACCACCAAGCTAAACTGGGGTCCACTCCGCCTGGCGGCGTCGGCGGCAGCAGCAGCAGCTGCAGCAGTCTGGGAGGGCGTGTGCGCAGTCGTGGCTGGGGCTGCGGTGACGGTGACCCCTGCTCACTCGCGGCGCACCCTGCCCGCACTGCTGCGCGCCCGCGCCCCTCCCCAGGCCGGCGCCAGCACGGGCTGGCGCGCCTCGCGCCCCTCGCAAAACAGGTGCCTGCCCTGAGCCCCCCGAGCTGCCCTTGTGGAACCACTCAGCCCAACCCCCTGCACACAAACCCCACTCAAACCTCGCCAGGTGGCACCGCGCTGACGAGGCGGGCTACGAGATGCCGGCCTATGTGCAGAGCGGCCGCGCCGCCGGCGCCAAGGCGCGCGGCTTCAGCTGGCAGCCGGCGGGCGGGGAGCGCGACGCGCGCATAGCCGCGCAGGCGGCGGGGCGCGCAGGGTAAGGGCGCGCCGGCTGGGGCCGGTCTGGGCCGCGGCCAGCGGCACGGTGCTCGCAGGGGCTTAGGCCTGCGTGCGCGTGTGGGGCCGAGGGTGGGGCGAATGCATGCATGACTTGATGTCCATAGGCCCATCAACAATGACGCGTGACACACTTGCACCACAGTGACTTGCTTGATACTGCAAGAGCCCATGCATTGCATTTACCAAAGTAAGCCAAGCATCCCCATTTGCTTTGTGGAGAGCCCGTGAGGGCTGGGTTCCATCACAGTGCCAGGGCAGCATTCTTGGTGGGTGGGGGGGGGGGGCGGGCGGTAATGTCGTAAACGAAACCGTGTGCGCTGCGTAAAGGAGCATTTGGGCTGCCGGGTGCAGTGGTCAACCCTCAGACGCCACTGCAGCAGTTGGGGGCCCAGACGCGCATGCAGGTGGCCAGCTGCCGCTGCACGAGTTGGGGCGTTAGCTTCTAAGGGGTTTTGAGAGGGGGTGACGCCGCACCGCCCTGTGCAATGCACGCGTCAAGGGGCACCCAGGCTCGCAATCGCAGCACGCCAACCCAAGACCCAGCGGGCTATCAGGCGCGAGCTGCGCAGCTGCGCGGGAGGAGCCGCAATCGGCCACGCAGGGCCTGACACTGCGACATCGCCACGAGAGCAGCTTGCTGGCAAGGAGAGCCGGGACGCACCAATGAATGAAGTCACGCTCCTTGCAGCAGAAAAGAGGGGTTTAACGAGTGCACGGGTCTCCTGGCAGGTGGGGACCGCGCTATGCACCCAGGCGATGGGCCGCGGCCGCCAAAACAGCCAAGAGCCCCGAGGTCTGGTCCGCTTTCAGGCGCGCCAGTGCGGCAGCTACACTTAACATTGTGAGCGCGCTGTTGCCAGACCCGGCTGCGGCGACGCGAAGGGCGCCCGTGTGAGTGAAGGGGCTGCGGCTGTCTTTGCTGCGAATGTGCGGGGGTGGTGGGGGCGATCGATTGCTGGGGGCCGCTCACGGTGTGTGGCTGGGGGACTCTCGACTTCAGCTGGATCCAGTCTCGCACCATGCAGTGGCCTCGAACACCTTGAGGATGCTGCAACACACATAAGCTTGATTCCATCTTGACTGCCAGTCAAAGTCGAAAGTAACGGAACCATGTGATATCTTCAGCCGTCTCCCGGGCACTTGGAAAATTGCAGTCTACATAACGGTGCCCCATGTCTGCAGCGGCTGGAGCACAAACCTGCTGAGAGGCTGGATATCCGCGCAAGCAGCTGTCACGCGCCAGGCGTGTGGCAGAGGGATGGACCGTGTGCTCGACCTCACACGCATTATGGATTGCTGAGGAGGTCCCACAAGATGAGTCGATCACCAAAATCCATACACGGAGGTTACAGCCATGTCACGCAACATCAGGCGCCCGCGCCGCTGCCCCGCCGCTGCAGCCCATTGCCCTGCTGCAGCTGGTGCCCCACAGACACCAGCAGCTGCCGCGCAGCCGCCACCGCCGCCTCCGCGGCGCGCAGCTTTGACGCGCTGTGGGAGGACGTGGGTGCGCCGCCCCCTTGCGCGCCGTCGCCCTTGGCGCGCGAAAGCAGCGCTGAGAGCTTGTCCTGCCCCAGTGCGCCGCCCTGCTGCTGCTGCTGCTGCTGCTGCTGCTGCTGCTGCTGCTGCTGCTGCTGCTGCCGCTGCTGCTGCGAGGGGCCAGGGGTCACGAGATTCCCCAGCGCCAGCGTGGCCGCCGCAGCGGCGCGCCCCGCTACCACCGCGCTGTAGCTCGGCCGCGCCGGCGCCGCCGCAGGGGCCGCCGTCGCCGGCAGCGCGCGCGGCGCGGGCGCCGCGGCGCGGAGCAGCGCGGCGG